CATGCCTATGCTTACTTGTATTGACTCATCCTAATGACCTGAATTGCACTCACATGAGGAATGACTGCTCTTGTTTCACACCAGGAACCACATGAAAGGCAAGTAGAGGAAAAGTCTCACTGACACCGTCATAGGAGAAGCAGCGGTCGGTGGATGTTAAATCTTTTGAAGCTGTTGTTGACACTTGAAGGGCAGCGTTCAGTAACAAAACCTTGGTTCTTTTGTCATCTCAAACGAAACACACACCCTGCCTAGAGGCATTTCCTACCCAAAAATGTATGAAAACAAACCAACTCATCCTATTACTGGGACCATGATCCACAGAGAAGAAGCAGAGCAGCGGTACGATGCTTTATCTCCAGCTTCTCCTTTTGCTCTATTTGTTCTGAATATGTACTCTGACCTGTGAGACTGTCCTCATTCTCATCAATTTGTGATAAAACACCCCCGACCGCTTGCCACAGTGGGTCTATCAAAGAGTGGTGCAATATCATCAACATGAAAAACACCCGTGTGGCTTCATACAGTCGCTAGACGCTGAAGACCTGAGAGCAAAGCGCAGTGTCTGCACTTGTTTATGTAAATATTCTTCATTTAAGATCAGCTGCAAAGAATTGGGACATTTTGGCATTTTACCTCCACGTATTCTGCAGCATGCATGCACTTACATCATAGAGTAAGCAACTGGATCAAGTAAAGTCCTCAACAATCCTCCAATTTCTCTCAACAAGGTTTGTTCTGACTTTTAATCAACTAGACTTGACCCAAGCAATAGTGTCATTGTTCACTCTCCCCATTTCATTTGTTATATCTGCAAAAACCCTGCCTGTAAGGACACAGTATAAAAAATCCCATTGACGTTGGTTTGGTGCAAGCATGATATACTTTCATCATGGTTTCTGCATTATTAGGAGCTATACCTTGACGTAAGGCCTGGACTCCCTCTTTAAATCAGGCGGCCTCCCTGCCAGTGTTGCCAGATCCAAAATCCCACAATATCGTACAGAGAAGCTTAAATTATCGTTTTCAGTACAAATTATCGTACATTATAAATTTGATAATAACGTTCTATAAACGACTTCTCACTCCAATATAATATAACAAAGAAGGTGTTTTATATTGCCCTGTTTAAATAAACATCTTTAAAACCAGTAATATAATGCTTATAAACGTGCAGAGTGTGTCGGCACCACTCCGACCTCCACGCATTGACACAGTGTGCACATTTGCGCAGTCCTATTTATTTCATTTCTACATAGGTTAAAAGCACGCGACAAAACATCACAGCAGTGAAAAAACTGACCCAATAAATGACACAGCAGCCTACTCACCTAGTTGCTGATCTCGATCTCCTCATCTGATTCACTGTCTGTCACAGCAGAATGCCTTTAATCACCTGTACTAAGTGGTCTGTGCTTCTCATTGCAATGTTGTGCTCGGCTAAAAAGCCACATAGCTTGATTTCTGTGTTTTTCACATCATTTTCAAACTTCTCTTTTTCATTAGTTTGTAGGAGACATTTATAAACCTGTAAGCACTGAGGTGAAATCTGACTTCAGAACAGTTTAAAATTATGTAATTGACTTGGGAAAGCCACAGCAAAAGATGGTGTTACTAGATGCAATGTGAAATTATCGTACATTTGAGGATTTTTGAAACTATTGATCGTACATCGTACAGAGCCCTAAATTATGGTACAAATACGATAATTATCGTACATCTGGCAACACTGCTCCCTGATCTCCACATGGTCTCCTGCATGTCCTTTAAACAACAGACAACTCATCCCTGGAGCACAGAGGGGCATCTATCTCCAACAGAGCTCACTTTATGTTTTTATTACACACAGAAAAGGAGACAATGGCTTAAGGCAGTAAAAAAGTTTTTGTTTGGCAAAGCTAGTGGAAAAATAAAGATAAACAAACAAGCTATCAATATTGTAGTTTACATTTAATTTTAGGATCTGATTTTATCACTTAAATTCACAAACTGAATTAGTTTGGAGACAAAATTAAAAATTACTATCCTAGCTTAGCACAAGTTAGGAAATCGAGGTATACAATTAGACCTACAACTTTTCTTCTTAAATTATTATAGTTCTATGGTCAACACTAAAAATTTTGATTCAGTTCTTTGCTTTAAAATCTTTTTCAAATAAAGCAATTTCAGCAGTGTTGTTCTTTACATGTCCAGTATCTTCCAGAATGAGCCATTTCAGGGCTCTGTCACTTTCAGAAAACAAGCTTTGGCCACACTCACCCATCCCCCATTCAGGTTGCTATAAGCTGAGAAGCTCCGATATCCGGTAGGGGTTCAATGGAGAGCCGGTGCTCCTCCAGCTCTTTCTTTCACCTGAGAGGTGGTTTAATTTTTACATTCTAAAAGTGGATGACAACAACAAGTCATTTCAAAAAGTCCCCGTTTGTGACGTCACAAACGGGGTCATACAATTCCTAAAACCAAACACTGACAGAAAACAGCTGAATGGGTTTTTTCCACATTTGGAATGTTTATAGAGACAGTAGAGACCCACATGGCAGTACATAAGGAGGTTAAATGTGAGTTTTGCACAATCTGCCTCCTTTAAGATTTTCCATATTAGCTTGAAGGTGCAAATTAAGTTTCTGAACTTTCAAGGGACCAAGAGGCAATTAAATGTTCTCACACGAAATAACTTGTTTTGAACTATTTGACGTTGATCACATATGTCGATCCCACAGGTTAGTTTAGAATCCATGGCTTCACTTTTCTTTACAGCTTATGTTTATTTATTTAGCACTTGCTTTTACCCAAAGCGACTCACAATTGTGGATATAGCAAATTCAATGAATTAGCCCAAACATGAATGTTTCTTTCTGAGAGGAAGATGGATTACACTGAGAAAACCCACACATGCATGGTGAGAACATGCAAACTCCACGCAGAAAGCATGCAACCTGCTCGCTGTGAGGCAACAACCGTGCAACAATGCAGCCTTAAATCATAATTTTTAAACATATTAAAGAAAATCCTGCAATACTTAACATTTATTGTAAAATAAACAGCTTTGAACCTTCTGAGCTCCACTGATTACTGAAAAAATAAGTCTCTTTCAGTTCAACAGACTCATGACAGTAAGAACCACGGATTTCACTTAATAACATAAATTCAGTCCTCTTCCTGCATCAACACTTTGTCCACTCCATCTTTTCTCTGCCTATGTACGCCACTCGCTGTTACACAAACACACACAAGCCTCCCTGACACTCTATTGTAGTATCAGGTTTTCTTATGAAACCGATACAGAGGCTGACCTTTCAGCTGGACCTGCACGGTCAACTCAGCAGCCTCTCCTCTATCTCACATAAACACACAACTGGGAGTCCATCTTGGCTTTCAGCCTGCAGGTATTCACAGAGATGAAGGTAGAGCAACTTCCTGCATACAGTCGAGCAATAAAAGCCAACTGCTCAAAAATGGCCTTGCTCTTTATTCACCGATGAAAAGGCTGATGTCTGGTTAATGACAGTGAGTCAACATAATCATACTGGTTTCACCTGCTTTTGTTTAAATCCTTTCCAACTAATATATGTAACACCAAACACTGCGAGTGCCTGGGGATCATTTTGTGGTATCGTTGCTGTGTGACAGATATGAGGAGGTGTCACACTGCAGGAGAGATCTGGGCCAGAGGCTGTCATTAAGCTGAAGTTAAGGAAAAAGAGGCTTAAAATAGAAAAATAAATCATCTCTTATTAGAGTAAAATGGACATAATGACTTACTCTGATTTAATTGCACTATTAATCCTATTTTCTCTCAGCAGATGCCTCTCCACTGCAGAAAAGGTCAAATTTGCAGGAAATATCTTGAAATGCTAAACCAGTCCAACTCAGTCAGGCTTATTTCAGCAGAACTGCATGAGGACGAAAAAGAGAGGAGGCTGCAAACAAGACAACAGCCATAAAAAGACACTAGTGCACGCTAGAGGGCTCCAGAGGGGTTCACCTTTTTTATTAGAGGACATTAAAATGTGAAGAAATCATGAGGGTTTTGCAGAAGCTTTCAGAAACATTTCCCTGCAGAGGAGTCCTGCTGTGGTTTGTGTGTATCTTTGCATTGATGTGAATCAAACACATGGCACGAATTAACCAATACTGCACCTTCCTGTTCTGAGAGGTCTGTGCATGCATGCAGGTGTGGCTGCATTGTTGAAAAATGTGTTTGTGCACCAGACCTTCAGACATATAGAGGAGAGAAAGGGGGTGTCAGAGTCTGAGGAGGCGACTCGCTCATGAGGAGAGTCACAGCATCAGCACATCTTTTAACCCACTGCCCTTCTTTCGTCTGCATCCCTTCCCCCGTTCATGGCTCATGTATGGCAGCATACTGTACACGGCAAAAGCCCAGTTTCTTTCCACACGCGCACACACCCCTCCTCCTCTCTCTCCCTTTAAATTTTAAAGAATCGACGTGCGGACGTGAGGGCGCACAGTAATCTGGGCTGATGCAAACAGAAAAGTGGAAATGCATTTATGTGTTTGACACAGAAATGTCACAATTCAATCTTGAGCAGGTGCGGTTCATTTGGGTTTTGCTCTCGAGGATGCTTTATGTGAAAGCTGCCGTTTCCCCAATCTAAGCAAACAGAAACAACAGGAAGACCAAGGTGACTGGTGCGTAAAAAGGGCAACCGTTGCGCACGGTCCGCATCGACAAAGAAAAGCACAGCAAACCAAACCCTCTGTTACAAAGAGGAACTGTTTTTATATCGCTTCTGGTCTATTTATTCTATAAGGACAAAATAACACAACATGTTATAAAATCTAATCGTTTTGGGTCTGGTGTGGATTTAGGTGTTTTATTTGGATGGCTTTGTGAATGAGATTTTTAAAAACCTGAATGGCACATTTGACATGCTCAAATAAAAGAGAGAAAGATAAAAACAGCTAGAATTGGCTGTAAGTATGAGCCAGACCCCTCACCCAAATGTCCATGTGGATGCCAAATGCGCGCCACTCACCTCACAGTCATACAGGTCGCTGAGTTTCTCAATGATCCACTCCTCCAGGAGAAGTCTTTTCCGCAGCTCTTTTCTGTCATATTTCACCGTCACCTTCCCCTGCCTCTTCTGGACCGGGTCGTCCCCGGCGATGGGCCCGGAGCCCACGCAGCCCACTCCGGGCGCAGCTTGGAAGAAGACGCGGCTGCCGGCGGTGGGCAGAGGTGGAGCGCTGGTCTCGGTGCTGGCGGCCGACATGGCGAAGATGAGAGGGGTCCGAGTGTTAAATAAAAGTGTGTGAATGAGGAGGGGCAGGGGGAGAGTCTGCGGTGCTTGTGCGAGACGGCGTGCTGCACAGCAGACAAGAGAATGTGCGGAGCTTTTAAACAGGTGCTATTTAAGGCGCAGAGCCGAAGAGAGGCGAGAGGAGGGCGGAGCGAGCGCTGCAAGAAGTGAGGATGGGATGGAAGGCGCTGGTGTTTGCATTCAAAACGGGGACTCAGAATGACCGTAATACTCTTAAAATAAACTTTTCTCACATGTTTAGCCCCTCCAGTCAAAAGGAGTAGCCTATAGTTTATATTTTGAGTAACTCTTTCTCGACATGGGCTGCATGTTGGCACAGTGGTTAGCACTGTGGCCTCGCAGCACGAAGATTGCGGATTCGAAACTCTGCTGCGTGGAGTTGCGTGTTCTCCCCATGCATGCGTGCGTTTCCTCCGGGTACTCCGGTTTCCCCCACAGATCACAACATGCCCTATAGGTTATAAATTGTTAGTCGCTTTGGATAAAAGTGTCAGCTAAATAAATAAACATGAACATAGAAAATTACAATATTATCAGTGTTTAAATCCAAATAAACGTATAAAACATCTAACTCCAGAGAAATGAATCAAAACATTTAGTGAAATGTTTGCAAAGTTCTAAGAAATGAAACAAAAGTAGACATTGATCAGTCGTTAAAAGCAAAACTAAAGAAAAAAGTAAAAGAAAAGATGCTAATGAAGCAGCCATTCAAAAAAAAAAAAAAGCAGTGATTCCATATAAAACCCATCAGAGTCACTAAGAGTATATGGGTCCCTCGACATTTTCATCAAAAGGATCTTATATACAGAGGCGCTAAATGCCGACTGGCAGTGCAGGCAATTGTTTGGGGGCCCCAGGCTGTAAGGGGCCCCCAAAAGGCAGACAAACTTTGAAGTGAGAAAGATAAAAGTGGTGTTACATCCAGTTAATTTATATGGGCACCAAAGTTGATTTAGGTTGATCTCTGGTAAAAAAAAAAAAAATAATAAAAATAAAAAATAAAAAAAGAAAAGAAAAAAAAAACTGGGAGCATTTATCCTAGAAAACCAAACTCTCAAATAAAGAGCTTTCTCTGCTCTGGTAGGTGGCAACATGCACCACTTTAGCATTCTTTCAGTTATCTATAGCAAAATATTTAGTTACCGTGAGAATATTTTTACTATATCTGTCCATTGATGTTTGCTTTTTAATTACTTTATGTAATGAAAACTGTCCAAAAGGAGCCTGCAATATTGCAATATAAAACATTTATTACCAGGTAAAATTTAAAACATATTACAGATGTAACATTGTCATATACTTAAAAATCTATTTTTTGTTGCATAAGGGATAAGTAATCACATTTTATTCTTTGTTTTATGCAAATGAACATTTTGGAGATAGTAGACATATTAACTTTAAAACTTCAAATCTACCACAAACAAATTCCACCATTTGTGTTTAACTTTAGATTTCATTTTTTGAGCTAAATGTGTAAAATCAACTATTTGTTTATGAAAGAACAAGAATTAGCACCCCATACATTCCCCCTGCTAACATTAATAATAGACTGATCAGATACTAACAAGATGGTATAAAACTCTGAAGTGGTAAATAAAATACTGCAGTTTATTAACAACATTGAGGTATAAAACCAAGCTTTTTTTGCAGTGTGGAAACTAAATTCCCTCAGTGGTGCTTCCATCTGTGCAGGACGGCAGATGCTGGAGTAAAATACTTTTTCCTCCCTTCTGCCACCTTGTGCTTAAATGCATTAGTAAATGGTTTACAGTACTGTGCAAAAGTTTTAAACCGATCCTCATTTCAATCAATCAATCAATCAAATTTTATTTGTATAGCACCTTCTACAACATTATCCGAAGCCCAAGGTGCTGAACAACATCATTAAAAGAAAAACATTCCCAATACATGGGCATAAAAGCAGGATAAAAACATAAAATCATAAAATAGCAAGCAAACAGCATTACAGATAAGAGATATTGGAATAAGACCAATCGATAAAAAAAAACAAATGTCGGACAAAATAAAATCAAGCATCCGGTTTAAAAAGAAGAATAGTTAAAACCATAATGTTAGGGCAATTCAAGTGACCCTAGCGCTGAAACACAATCAGATAAAAATGAGTCTTTAAACGACACTTAAAGACTTGAAGGGATGGTGCCTGCCTAATGCTCAGTGGCAATTCGTTCCACAGAGTTGGAGCCAAAATAGAAAAAGCACGACTACCCCTCGATCGAAATTTCGACCGGGGGACCACCAGAAGTTCCTGCTCGGCTGAGCGAAGAGACCGAGATGGAGTATACCTGTTCAAAAGCGCAGTAATGTACGAGGGGGCACTGCCCTGGAGGGCCTTATAAACGAGAGTTAAGATTTTAAACTGAGCTCGATATTTTACCGAGAGCCAGTGCAGAGTAGCCAGCACTGGGGTAATGTGCTCTCGACATCTAGTGCCTGTCAGGAACCTAGCCACAGAGTTCTGCACAAACTGGAGCCGTGCAACCGTGCACTGGGCCAGACCAGCATATAGAGCGTTGCAGTAGTCCAGCCGAGACAGGACGAAGGCATGCAACTCAAACTCCAGATGAGCTCTGGACAGCAGAGGCCTGATCCTGGATAGTCTTTTCAGGTTAAAGAAACAGGACCTCACCACTGTATTTACATGAGTGTCAAGATTAAGTGCTGAGTCGATTTTAATCCCCAAATTACTGACCATTTTCTTTTCATAGGGTGTCAATGGGCCAAGGTCAATATCAGTACCAGAGCCATTTCTTCTGCCAGGACTAAGTATTATAACTTCCGTTTTGCTCTCATTTAGGTGCAAAAAATTAGAAGCCATCCAGCATTTTATGTCCTTCAAGCAATCCAGTAAAGGAGAAACTGATCTATCCTCCCCACGTTGAAGAGGGAGATAGATCTGGCAGTCATCAGCAAAGAAATGAAATTTCATATTATGCTGGCGAAGGAGGACTCCAAGAGGAAGCAAATACACTGCAAATAGGAGAGGACCAAGGACAGAGCCCTGTGGCACACCCCAACGAAGTTTCACGCTGGGTGATGTTACCTCACCCATCTTAACACTAAATGTCCTGTCTTGAAGATAAGAGCGAAGCCATTGGAGGGCCTGCCCAGTTATCCCCACCCAATGCTGTAGTCGGTCCAGAAGGACTTCGTGGTCGACTGTATCGAAAGCTGCAGATAAGTCAAGCAATAGCAGAACAACATCATTGTCCATGTCACAGGCTAAAAACGTGTCATTAAAAACCATCAAAAGAGCAGATTCAGTGCTGTGACCTTTCCTGAACCCTGACTGAAAGGTTTCCCATAAATCATTTGTGTCCAAAAAGGCAACCAATTGTGAATACACGACCTTCTCCAGCAGTTTGGAAAGAAAAGGGAGTTTTGAGATGGGCCTGTAATTAGCTAAGGTTGTCACATCCAGCCCCGGCTTTTTTAACATGGGATGAACAACAGCCTTTTTAAACGAGGATGGAACCATACCAGAAGTAAGACTGCCATTTATGATTGCCAACAGCAAAGGGCCTATCACTGGAAAGAGTTCTTTATAAATTCTAGGGGGCAGCACATCACAAGGAGAGCCAGAAGGTTTGAGCTGAGCGACCAGTTTTTCCAAGTCTGATAATGTAACAGTCTCAAATGTTTCCAGTGTAGCCTGGAGCGGCTCTGGGAGTAGAGAGTCAGATGGTGAGTTTGTAATGGCAGCTCGAATAGCTGTAACCTTATCAACAAAAAAGTGAAGAAAGTCATTACAAGTTTAAACTGTGGGAGGCAAAGAGCTAGAATCAGAGAACTCAAGTAGCGAATTTACAACAGAAAAAAAGAGTGCGTGGATCGTGAGAATTTTTTTCCATGATATCAGCAAAGAACTTCACCCTTGCTTTAAGAGTTTGCTGATAACTAAACAAAGATTCTCTGAATATCTCACGAGAGACTTGGAGTCTGTCTTTCTTCCATTTCCTTTCTGCCCTCCTACAGGATTGCCTGCAGGCCCGAACATCATCAGAGAGCCATGGTTCTGGCCTAGGCCTCTTCTTTCTAATCCTAAGAGGTGCAATTTTATCCAAAATGTTTTTACAAATACTGTCAAATTGGAGTGTAAGCTCCTCTGCATTAAGTGACATTGTGTGTAGCTCACTTCCTTCTGCACATAGGAGCTCACCAAGCTCAATAATCTTTGCTACATTTAAAACATGACAGAATCTCACATGAGAGGAAGCCACAGCAGGCACGCAGGGCAAGTTAAAATCACATAAAATGGGCGAGTGATCAGAAAAAACAGGGCTCAGTATCTCTACACCAGCAACAGAGAGACCAATAGACATCACTAAATCCAAGGTGTGTCCCTGCGCATGAGTAGGTCCCAGGACCCACTGTGACAGATTAAGGGAGCCCAACAGATGTAAAAAGTCTTTGGCCAATGGCTTATCAGGGCAACACACATCTCGTCTCGTCTCGTCTTCCTCCGCTTATCCGGGTCCGGGTCGCGGGGGCAGCATCCCAACTAGGGAGCTCCAGGCCGTCCTCTCCCCGGCCTTGTCCACCAGCTCCTCCGGCAGGACCCCAAGGCGTTCCCGGACCAGATTGGAGATGTAACCTCTCCAACGTGTCCTGGGTCGACCCGGGGGCCTTCTGCCGGCAGGACATGCCCGAAACACCTCCCCGGGGAGGCGTCCAGGAGGCATCCTGACCAGATGCCCAAACCACCTCAACTGGCTCCTTTCGATCCGGAGGAGCAGCGGTTCTACTCCGAGTCCCTCCCGAATGTCCGAGCTCCTCACCCTATCTCTAAGGCTGAGCCCGGCCACCCTACGGAGGAAACTCATTTCGGCCGCTTGTATCCGCGATCTCGTTCTTTCGGTCATTACCCAAAGCTCATGACCATAGGTGAGGATTGGGACGTAGATCGACCGGTAAATCGAGAGCCTGGCTTTCTGGCTCAGCTCCCTCTTCCCCACGACAGATCGGCTCAGCGTCCGCATCACTGCAGACGCCGAACCAATCCGCCTGTCGATCTCCCGATCCCTCCTACCCTCACTCGTGAACAAGACCCCGAGATACTTAAACTCCTCCACTTGAGGT